TAGGCGACTCTGCAAGAACCATACTAGTACCCCTAGACAATCTGATGGATTAGGAGCAGCGATGTGCAAATTTTTAGGCAATCCGACCTTCATCTGAAAAGCACTGGTTGGGATGACAGCCACATGATGGTTTTGGCCATCGACCACCTTCGTTTGCTTCAGCAAAGAGCAGACTCGCAGCACCACGTACGGAGCATCCACCACGAGAAACAAGTCCTGTCGACACTGCCAGACCTGGACAAAATAAGCAGCAGCAACCAAATCAACAAAGGTTTCAACTAACTCGGCGACCCCAATATTGAAATCGATTGTAAAAAAGCAGTAATATGAAATAAGAACGACATCGCAAACCTGGACGAGGCACCTGAGCAGGCCTGGCGAGCTCCGTGACCCAGGTTCTGGACATATCACCGTCCAGCCTCTTGCATGTCGACCACACGTTTAAGGCTTTGCGATTGAAATGGTAAGGCGAGGTAGCCGCCTCGCGAGCGATTGCATTGAAGTTCTCCAATCCTGTGTCAGCTGCAGTGTCGCGCTTCGCGGTGAAAATCGAAGTCTTGATGACTTGCTTCATCGGCACTGAATGCACAAGAGATGGCGATGGAGAGATGGTCTCGAAGTTCTCGTATCGCTCGGCCACTGCCTGTATCGATGCAGTTTGCAGCTGCACAGGCGCAATTTCGCCTCCAGATTGGCCTCTTTCTCCCAGACGTAGGCTGCGAAAGCAATTTTCGCAGCCCAATGTGCTCGAAGGATCAGCGAGCCAAGCTCGCACCAGGTCTTTCAGATCGTCAGTCAGTCGCCACCGCCTCTCCTGGCAGTATGTCATAACCTCACGATACACGTGCCATCGTACATGCGGCACGGCTTTGAGAGGATACTGGTCGCTGGCATCGCGACACTTCTCCTCCATTCGACACAAAAAAACCCACTCTGACTCCATTTCCTTCAAACACCGATTGGCGACATCGGGATTGCAATCGAGGAGCATGAAAAATCGCCAGGGAAAAAACTGATACAGAGTAGAATAATCCCAGAATCGCTGAACTGTGGCTATGGTGTGTCTCCAATGCACTGCCAAGAGCTGCTCGGTGTCGTCGACATTGCAGATCAAGTCTTGGATGCTCTCTGGGCTCAAGGCAGACTTCAAAGTATCCCGGATCAAGTCAGGCCAATGCTTGACCACGTACGAACGAAGACGGAGACTTCCCTCCACGGACTTATCTTCTCGCACCTGGCATCTGCCAAACCGATCCCACCCTTCAAACTGAAAAATGAATCCGAACTGTTATTCTGAACCACCCAAAAACCCAACCCCAAAGTCCGCCAGCCTCAGCTGCTTGGAAACTTCGAAAAGGCTGGAGGCAATAAAAGATGCTCTTCCCATAGGCAAGGATGAGAGGCTGCACCAAGACCTGAGCAATATGACAATCACGGCATTTTTTCACCATGCCGAATGAGAAGGACAGCAATCTGATTTTCGGTAATGCACCAAACTTATATATGACAAATTAGCTTCGGAGCCAAGGATCCCTAAGGACCTTGGGAGCCAGAGCAACATCGTCGTCCGAGCCAGCCTTGTCCAAGCTCTCGGAGAGTGCACTCCACGGATTTCTTCCTTCCAAGATCATTGCAAATAGAAGCACGAACAGGCGGCAATGCCACTCGGATCTCAAGTGGCGGAAGGAATCCAGCAGGTCGCACCACCTGCCGGTCTTGTGCTCTGCACCAGTGCTGCCGCGCTTGGAGCGGCAAAAGGCAAGGATCGCCTCTTTGACTTGAGCCGGTGAAGCATCCGGCGAGAGCCCCAGGTCGGAAATGATTCCGGCACTGACCATGTCAATCAAGGGATGATCAGTGGGGATTTCACCCACACGGTCTCTGGCTTCGGCCAGCCTACGCCCAAACGCAGAAGTTGCCCAAGGCGCTCGGTCGAATTTCAAGACGAGGTTGATCTGCTTGCGTGCCAGTGCAATCTCTGCCACCTCTGACGAAGCGAGAATTTCTTCTCTGTGTAGTTTGTGTAGAGTGTCACGGTGGACAAGCACCGCCAGCCCATTTTGCGCCATCTGGTACGCTCCGGCTGCGTCCCCCTCGTCCTGCAAGCAGTTCAGCCTCAGGATGGATTGCCAGCCTGGGTACTGGGTTGTCTGCCAGGTCACCCCTGTCGGCGACCAAACATAGGGCAAGTCCAATCCATTCCAGTGAACGGTGCTCCTTCGTTCCCCATTCCGGCAGGGCCGAAAAGCATGCGGCGGCAGGCTGTCAGCCAGGCGATAATCAATCAGAGCATTGAGCGAATGATTGATTGCAAGGAGCTTGGAACGTGTCGCAACTTTCTCAGGTGCACTCAAAGTCGCAGGGCCACAGGAGGCCTTGGCGCCTTTGAGATCCTGCAATGCCTTCTTCGGCACCAGTTCTGCCGCCTTCGCCAAGTTCTCTGCAGCACTGCTCTCGGTGGTCTCTTTGAGCTGGGGTAGCAAACTGATGGGCGAGGAGATCATCAAGCCATCCGCGGACACCAGCACTTGAAGCACCTGGACCACACGGGATTGAACCAACGCATCGAAACCAAACTTGCCCAAAATTAAAACAAAACTATGAAAACAGGATGTTGTTTTCTATCACGCCCATGCCTCGTATGTGCCGACCTTCGCAGCATCCTCGTACATGCTCATGTGTCGAAACTTCTGCACGGAAAGCTTCTTCATCAAGGCACTCCGGGCGTCCAGAAAGTAGCCGGTCAAGTACTGGTGTGCAGCACAAGCGCCCAAGCTTTTCCCCAGCGTACCCGGCAGCTCAAGGTCTGTAGGGCAGATCTCGGAATTGGAGCGATTTCTCAATCCAGTCACGAAGCCTCCGCCCCTGGCCAAGAATCTTTTCAAGAGTTCTTGCCTCGCCAGGTTCGCGTTCCGGGTTCGCAACCCGGACGACCATGGCGTCTGACCTGGCTCCTCCTGCTGCCGCGGTGGCGTATCTCGCAGGTGTATGGAGCCATCGCACATGCCGCTCTCCCAAGCCTGGGCCAAGATATGCAAGATGCGTTTCTGTAGCCTCGTGACTGGGACCTGAGAAAGGCCATCTGAATCAGCTCGGAGTCTCATCAGAAACCAGCATACATCTGCAACAGGGACGTACCCACCCAGGTTCTTGCGACTTGTGCCCAGAGCGACGCAGTTTTCCCACCTGCAGGAGAAGACAGATTTGAATCATAGAAAGCGGAAGGGAGGGGCTCCCAACCGCGAAAGGAAATCCAATTCTCAGCCTAAAGACATATTAACTTATGATGCTCGAGCATACGAAAAGGGAGTTTGAAAAGGACCAAAGGCCTCTGCTTCAGCGAGGCTCGTAGCTCGCGGTCGAAGAGCTTGAGAAAGCTCTTGAGCATGACCTGGCCATCCTGGACCGCCAACGTCACAGTGGGAAGCAGCTTCAGCCCGTCTGAGAACTCCAGGAGTCCCGTCATGCGACGAAGCAGACTGACACATCTGCTCTGTACGTTCTCAGCCAAACCACGAATCTGTGCCAGGGTTCCAATCAGAAGCAGGAAGCCGGCGCTTGAGACACAGTCATATTTCAAGCCCGGCCATGTGAAAGCTTCTTGACTGCCTTTGTAGTTCTCGTGTCGCACTATGTGCTTGCGACTGAGCCCCCAGGAATCAGCATGCTGCTTGAGTGTGCCGGAGCTCTCGTTCTTGGAGTACCAGGCAAAAAAGCTGGTTGCCATGCTCAACTGGCTCCACACGTCTTTCACACACAGCAGATGCTGGTAGCCGTCCACATTCCGCTCCGCCGTCGGCTGGACCTCTTCAAGACTGACATTGTTGCGGAACTTTTACACTATGGGCAAGCTACGATGTTTTACATTCCACTAGTGCAGTTGCGAGGTTGAGCCCAAGCCTTGACCACCGTCAAGTAGTCAGGCTCCAATCGTAGGAAAAGCATCTCCAGTGCGTCAGAGACTAAAGGACTAGGCTCTGCCACAGCGGCAGCAATCTCTTTATCCAAATCGCTATCCTCACGGCCGCCCTCAAGCAGGGGAGGTGGCAGAGGGAAATCACAGCCAGCACGAACCGCCGAAATGCAGTCCTCCAGCACATCTCCATCAACAATCTGATTGCCGAGCGTTGCCAAAGGGGCTTGCTTGGACACTGCTGCTTTGAACATCTGCAGACACCGCAAGAAAGTCGCGGCACCTTGTTCCGCCTTTGTCTGCAGCAGTTGGCAGATGGCATCTTTGATGTTGGCCTCAGACAGCAAGACTGAAGCAAGGCTCCAAAGCAGCCAGCGTGAAGAAAAAGACGTTATCTTCAATTACAAAACCACACCCGTACATTAGCACAATCAAGACTTGCATGAGAGTCTCCATTACAGCAAATTTCGCCGCAACTGCTGGCAATCACCGCCCACTGGACTGCCCATGACACAAAAAACTTCCCCGCGTCGTACTCTCACAGCTGGCTCGAATGCGTAAGACTGCCTGCTGACATGCACTCGAATGGTGCCTGCACACTTGTTCATGTGGCCAAAAGGGAAGTCTGTTCATCCAGATGTACACCCTTGTATTGTCACATGTAGCCTATGCAGAGCCGACCAGGGCTACAGGAATTCATCCGTCTGGCAAACACACTCTTCAAAGGAATCCTGCCTCAGAACTTGGACCCTGTTCCCTTCAAGGACTGCCACCAGCACAACAGGGAAGCAGAGTTTTATTGCCGAAAACTCGGCAGCAAGACTGGCTGCAAAGGATGTCACCGGAAGAGGCCTGCATCAATGCAACATGAATCAGTCCCAGGCCGAGGCTAGTGACAATTAATGTGGGCTGAGTCACAAAATTATGGGGACAGTTTGGGCAAGATCACTGGGCTATGACGGCGATAACTTCAAGCAGTGCAGGACGTTAAGACTCAGAGTGGCTGGAAGGATATGCAAAGCAGAGATGCCTGGCAGAGAGCAGCCCGGGAAAGAACACAAAAGCAAATCTTGCGCCAACAAAACCCAGGTTCAATTGCCTGTTTGGACAACGAGGACCCCTGAGTGGCTCCAGCAGTCCCTCGAGGCCCAAACCAACCACCCGTGCAAATGCACCCAAGTTGCACTTACACACACACAGACACACACATCAACTCCGTGGCTGAGGAGGCCCATCCTCTTAGATAAAGAAAAGTAGCCTCGTGTATTGCAAAGGCTATCCACGTGTGTGAGCAGACTCATTTCAACTAGCCCAACCACAAAAGTGGTTACATCCACGAACTACCTGAACCAACTTCCTCTACTCTATGCCAAGAACAATAACAAAGCTTGTGCACAGATACAACAACACGAAACAAACAGCAAACTTCAGGCACGCTGACAGGCTTCAGGCGCTATGACCCGATGGCGGTGTGGGCCTGGCTGGCGGCAGCAACGACCACAACTCCTGGGCGGTAAATATTAAGCAGGGAGCAAGCGAGCAAGCCGGGCAAGGCATAGCACTCGCGGGGGGGTACAGTACGAAGTCTTCACTGCTACGAATCTCCGCCAATTCTTCTCATGTTGCCCTCTGGCACTCTGGCGCAGATATAAGCTGAGGCTGAAACCACAAACCCCCTCCAAAACCGACTGCTGGGCAGCCTGAACGAGCTCTTTGTCCCAAACCTGTCAGAAGATTCGGCAAAGGCAAGCCATGGAGACTGTGTGCAACGATGCCCACAGCTGTGTGTGCCATGACCCCAGCAACAAGGCCAACAAAGGTCAACTCGACACCGTCCGTCGACGGCTAGGGCATGGGCCTGGGAATAAATACGTTTGCCAACAACAGCCATCATTCTCAACGGCAAGCGGCTCTTCTCAGTCAAAGCCAACAGATACTGCAGTCTGCCGACACAGACCCGGAACAAAGCCGGCATCGAGTCCCAAGCAGTCTGGCTGCACTCAAACTCCAGGAGCAAATCTTCCAACCCTTGGACAAACGACTCCAGCGATTTCTGTTCCGAAGATTCTGGACCAGGACCTTATTCAAAACGTAGCCCAAGTGCACCCAGCCTGGCACACCGGCACGGTCAAAGGCAAGGAGCCGGAAGCCTCGAAATGCGAGCTGACGATGACACTTGACTCAAGGGCCGATATCGAGGAACCTCTACCAATGTTCGAATATCCTTGTCTGGTTCCTGCACTGTAGTCAAATAATCTCAGGCTCAATCAGCAAAGCAAACCATGTGCAAAAGTGCCCGCTGGGCATCCTGACGATCTGACCATTGTCGGCGACCTGACAGAAGAGCATGCGTGTCAGCTTATTGCGAACAAACGAGGCCTAAGCAGCACGAGCAGCACATGCGATGACCCCCAAAACACCAAGCCCATCCCCGTGAGCAGCACAACCCTGGAATTCCAAGCAAGTCAGCCTCAGCTCGGCCCATGTGCCAGACCACAGCCAGGGCCTAGGACTGGCCATTCACACTTCGAGCTAGCAGGTGGTTTCTTGAAAAGCAACTTGCTCTGAACCGGGTAAATCAAGACATGCCATGCTGCAGTGTGCCGACACAGGCCTGGAGCAAAGCTGAATCCAAGTTCCGAACAAGCCGGCTGCATTCGAACTCCAGCAACAAAGCCGCGAACCTTTCAAACACAACTTGGGTGAGGTAAACTCTGATTTGTTTCTGGACTTGGGTTGCCCAGCAAAATGCGCACGAAGTGCAACCAGCCTGGCACACCGCCACGGTTGATGGCCAGGAGCCGGAAGCCCCGGAACGTGTGTTGACACTGGCACCTGAAGGTTTTTTTTTATGTCGGCATAAAGGACAGTCTCACTCGGTTCGTGTATCTCCGCTGTGGCAGAAGACTGCAGGTGGGACCCTGTAGCAGCAATGATTGGGAGAGACCTCGACTGATTCCCGGAGTCTACTACAGACAAATCACGGTTCAGAGCACAGCACTGGCGGAAGCAGTCGTGCTGTTGACCCCTATGTTGGTTCCATGACTGTGGTTCTTGGGAGCAGAATTACACGACCTTCTCAATCGGACAGAAGCAGCAAATGCAGCGACACGATCGGAATGCATCTGTTGCTGAAGAACATCCTTTGCAGCCTAGTGGCCTAGCAAGCAGCAATACCAAAGTGCGAAGATCAGCAGCCATACAGAACCGTGGTAAGAAATACTGAAACCACAAGATAGTCAATGGGTGTGCGATATCTACCATCAAATACAGATATAGACACAAGCGTGCAAAAGACAACGACACATCGACACACGGTGCTCTAGTCATGCTGTCATGGTCAGGCACCCACAAGGAAGAAAGCCTGCTTGCAGTCCGACAAATCTAGGAGCTGAAGCTCCGGGCCCACGGCTGCCGCACCGATCGGAATGAGCAGCAGGGCCCACCTGCAAAACTCACCAGCAAACTCCAAATCACGTACCAAGGTCAAGCTGCATGAATATTCGCAGAAGACGCACACTCGAAGCTTTGGTTTACTCTGTGTTCGGGCCTGCCGCAGCTCGGTCACTCCTCCGCTGCAAAGGTGACCTCGGCCGCGGGCTGAGAAATTCACCACAAAAAAATTCTGTGGATTCTGAGAGAACTATCACTCGCGGAGAAGGATACATGATGCGTTTTCTGTGTGTTCACATACATCACATTCCTCCAAGTGACGTGGTTTTCCCAATTTTTTTTGCGACCAGCATTAATCTAAATATTCCTGAGCGAGCTATCCAAAACTGAGAGAGTGCGTTGAAACTCCCGAATGCGCGAAAGTCAAAACTTAACAGTCCAGCCGTCAGTCACTCAGCACCGAGAGGATGCCGAAGGTCCTGGGCCGTCGGGCCGCCGACCTGTGAAAGAGGAGAGAGAGGTCTCCGAAACCAAATTTCCTGGGTTCCCAAGCATCCCAAGCGCCGCAACCCAGAAACATAGGCAGTACAAGATGAGGCACGTGGTCCAAGTGGCCGGCCTCGTCGTCAAAGCCAGCTGCATCCTCCATTGCATCCAGGACCGCTCTGTACATGTCCTGACAGACACATAGCCGGGAGGAAATATGAACAGGATTCGAGAAAGGAGAGGAAAGTGGTCGGCATGACTCAGTTATCCTTGCTGTCGATGACGGTCTTGATCGAATTGGTAACGGCCAGCTTTTGGGAGAAGCTCAGCCGCTGGAATTTCTGTCGGGAGGCCGAAGTGGCAATGAAGAAATTGGCATGGTTCGCAGCGACAAAGTTGTCCAGCTTGGACAGGAGGCTCACTGGATCTGTGCAGCCCAAGGCAGATAGGAGATCGAAGAAAGCAGCAGCGTCCTCAGTTCAAGCACAAACTCTAAACCCGAACACCTGACCCAGGTGTTCGGGTTTGCACACCGTGGAGAAAACAACCACCCTCCAACCAAGACACCTGCTCCCGAGGAAGGTGGGCAGAAACGACCTCAGACAACATCTCCATCAGCTCAAGGTTCACGGGAGCTTCGGCACGTTCTGGGGCCGTGTTCAGGACAGGTGCGGCATTCGACTTGAAACCTGCCTCCGAATCCACATACGGCACCATAGCTGATTTGACAATGGGTGGACTTCCACGGGCCTGCGCCCCCGGTGCCGGCTCCACCTTTTTCTCCTCGTCGTTGCCGATCTTTGCTTTGTTCTGCTCTCCGTCGCCCGGCTTAGGCTCAGGCTGGCCAGGCTTGCCATCCTCAAGAGCTGCTTCACCGAACTTCCCGCCGGCGAACAAATCATCATCGTCTCCCTCGAAAAGCCGGCGTCGGCAATCACGCACAGCACCCCGCTGGGGAGCACTCCCTTCCTCGCCCGAGGACTCTGCTTCGTTCGCTGCAGGCTTGCCCTTCATCACCTGTGTCGCCTCGGAATCATTGGCCTCGCTTTTCTCACAGTCTGTGCTGTCGTCGTCTGGGTTGGGCTTAGTCTTTGATTTCCGATACTTGTCGAAGACGGCGGAGTTCCCAGCCTTGCCCTCGTCCTTCTCCTTCCTCGGCTTCTTGGCGATGTCTTTGGTGTTCTCGAGAGAATCAAGGATTTTCTGCTCCATTTTCCCCAGGTCTGTCCTTGCATCGTTCTTCAAATTGGCGAGCAGATCCAGGAGCTGCGTCTTGAATTCAGCCTCGCCGGACTTCACCCTGTCCTTGATCCTGGGAAGGATGCTTTGGCGGAGCTGTGCGATGGTGTCGAAGCCCACCACGGTTGTTTTCCGTGACTTCCCAACCAAAAGCCTGAGACGAAGTACACTTCAGAATGAATCAGCGAATGGAAGCAAAGAAAAAACGAGAAATGCACAAGACGCTCGGATCACTACAGGAAAGGAACTCGAAGAGCTGCATGAGGCGATCCTTCCAACGAGAATCCGACCATGAAACGAGCTTCTGAGCTCGTTCGAAGGATTCTCTGTCCTGTGCATCGGCTTGTTTCCTCTTCCTGGCTGGCAGCTTGCATGCGGCCTCGTGCTTCAGAGCCAGTGTCTTGTGTTCACCTCCGAGTTCACAGAGGTCGAGAACCGTGAGACACCCGATATCCTTGTGGCTCTCGGCAAGGATGTAGCACACTTGCTCCTCAATGCTTCGGAACACACAAAAGCCCCGCTTTGCATAGAACATGCAGTCACCGAGACCGCTATAGATACAGCAGAAGATAAGTGCAACCCAAGATCACACAGCATGTCTTCGTACTTCTGGACTGACTTCAGCTTGAGCGCCCTGCCCTTCAAACCCAAGATGATACCCAGCTGCCGCTCCACCTCATGCTCTGGCAACTCTTCCTCGGAGGCCTCTTTCGAGCCAGAGTCGGAGGACGCTTTCTTTTTCTTCTTCTTGTCCTTCTTCTTGGCATTCTTGCCCAAGATGCTCTTGGCCATGCTTTCCTGCACCATAAACCCTTCGTATCAAAACACAAACAAGTGGAAAGGCAGCACCACAGCAGCAACCACATAGTTTGCACTGCCTGAACCATGTCAGAAACAATGCAGCCCGGCCTTCATGTTGTCCAAACAACTGTCCAACATCTGCGACATGGGGTCTTGGGACTTCTGGGGCGAGGCCTGCTGGGAAGACGTGGATGCAATGGACTGCTGTGTGTTCTGCCGGCGCAGCATGGCTCCAGCAGCGTCCCACACACTACTACAGGATCCAGGAGCGCTCAGACGAAAATTTAGAATCATGTAGAAGCAGACCACTGCTAGCGAAGCAAGTGAACGTCGCCGTGCATTCTGACATTCTTGATGCCCTATGCCGTGCAGTCTTGGAAATGCTCCTTCATGAATGTCATGTAGCACCGGCCGCCATGCTTTGAAAGCCCTGGTATTACTGCAGCTGAACGCATCGACGGATGAAAAGAAGAACTGCCCCAGGAATCAGCGTGACGTGCTGCATCAGTGCATCTCAGCGTAGTTCTAGACATGATTCAGCGGTGTGACCGTGGCAACACAAACTCTGGCTTCGAGGAAGACAGCCGACAGCAGAGGCTCCAGCGGAAGCAATGAGTCGGACCTGATGTTCGACAAGGCGCAAGCGAGCAAGCATAAGGCCTTTTGCGAGGAAACTGCTGACACAGCAGAGTGGCAATATCATTCAAAAGACCCTTTTCCTTCCCTCACATTGCAGACTCACTGGCTTTTGCATGTCTGCAGTCACTGGCTTACTGCACAAACTCCCGCGAGAGCCTTTTTGCTACGTGATATGACTAGGAAAGATGTCATGCTGCCTTGTGCAATCAGCAAAAGAACACAAAATCGTGGCCGTCCAAGGCAAAGGGTGGCGAGCCACGGCGAGCCCCAGCATCTGCAACTCATCCACCGATCCACCTTCCAGTTTTGGCTGAATGCAGGCAAAAGAGAAGGACAACGGGATGCAGAAGAGGAGTGGAGACTGTCTGAAGTCGGCACAAACCAGCTCAATCCCAACCCCACGACATCATGGCAATCAAGAAATTCACGGACTGGGCGAGATCGCCGCTAAGGATTGGCAGCTGCACCCTCATGCTCTTATCTAAACCCTGATACCAAGGCCTTTTCGGCAAGAGCTTCAGGAGAAGGATGTCACGGGCTTTTCCGCTTTTGACGAATACGACGAACAGGAACCTGATGCCGCGAGGGATCCGAAATGCCCTGCCCGGTGCTCATCTGGTCGAGCTGGATGACGAAGCGAAGGTCGGCCACCGTTGTGGTGATGCGTTTGGCGTGAAGCGTCGCCATGCAAGCCCGCACCAGCATGGAGTTCAGGTACTCCTGCCAGAGCACTACCAAACCAATGCCAGAGCAGCAGACCCAAAGGACACGGATCAAAGCAGGAGTGCAGAATGGCCAGCGTGGCACACAAGCCCTCTGCGACACACACCAGACACACACACAGCGGCTACTACTGCATGGCACCAATACAAGCAGACCTCGGCAGCTTGGTGAAGAGTTCTGCTGCCTTCCTCAGAAAGACTGATCGGCTGGTCATTCTCTTTTTCGGATCTGCCCGAGTGGAGCTCATCCTTGTAGTTCGGACTCCTTCGTTCCTTGTGCAGTCGGTCCAAGATGTCCTACACAGATGAGCTGGGGACCCTTGGCAATGAAAGGCAAAGGACACTCCAGAATTACCGGCTGTTGCTCGGGTCCTTGCTGAGCTTCTTGAACAAGGCCGCTGGGATCATGGGCTCGTTCGACGTCGGCAGAATCGCCATCTGTGAGATGGCGTTTCTGTTCTGGCCACCGTAGCGACCCTTCCATTCGACGTCCTTCGTCGTCCCTGCCTTGGCAATTTGGCAAAGACAGGAGAAGACCTGCAGCCACCAAACCGAAACAAAAATGAAGCAAAGTTGCAGAGGGTCGGCCGCCCGAAGACGCATTCTTCTTCAGCGTCCTTGTCATGCTGCCACCTCCCAGCAAAGGCCAGAAGGATTGGTTTCGACCACACGTGTGGGTTTTCGCAAACTAGCAGAGGACATCTACGTCTGCTTGGAGTTTCTGCTATTCAGATTTCTTTGGCACACATCAAGCTTTCCTGGTCCAACCCGGCACAGATGCGTTTTCCAAGGGCTGGTAAATGCATCCGGCTTGCCTTGCAGCTGCCATTCCAGCTCTCTGTGTTATCGTTCCAGGACCGACACGGATGCGTTTTTCGGGGCCTGGAAAACGCATCTGGCCTGGATTCCCTATGTTCTTGACAGCCACACGTGTGGATTTTCGCAATCTACCCGTCGAAATCTGCATTTGCTTTGGGTTTATGGTATTCAAATCTCTTTAGCACACATCAAGCTATCCTTAGTCAAAACCGACACGGATGCGTTTCCCAAGGCCTGGTAAATGCATTCGGCTTGGCTTGCAGCTACCATTCCAGCTCTGTGCATTCTCGTACCATGACCGACACAGATGCGTTTTTCGGGGCCTGGAAAACGCATCTGGCCTGGATCCCCAATGTACCCGTCGAAATCTGCTTTTGCTTTGGGTTCATGGTATTCAGATCTCTTGAACACACATCAAGCTATCCTGGTCCAAACCGACACAGATGCGTTTTCCAAGGCCTGGTAAATGCATCCGGCTTGCTTTGCAGCTGCCATTCCAGCTCTGTGCGTAATGGTGCCAAGACCGACACGGATGCGTTTTTCGGGGCCTGGAAAACGCATCTGGCCTGGATTCCCTATGTTCTTTACAGCCACACGTGTGGATTTTCGCAATCTACCCGTGGAAATCTGCATTTGCTTTGGGTTTATGGTATTCAAATCTCTTTAGCACACATCAAGCTATCCTGGTCCAAACCGACACAGATGCGTTTTCCAAGGCCTGGTAAATGCATCCGGCTTGCTTTGCAGCTGCCATTCCAGCTCTGTGCGTAATGGTGCCAAGACCGACACGGATGCGTTTTTCGGGGCCTGGAAAACGCATCTGGCATGGATTCCCTATGTTCTTTACAGCCGCACGTGTGGATTTTCGCAATCTACCCGTGGAAATCTGCTTTTGCTTTGGGTTCATGGTATTCAGATCTCTTGAGCACACATCAAGCTATCCTGGTCCAAACCGACACAGATGCGTTTTCCAAGGCCTGGTAAATGCATCCGGCTTGCTTTGCAGCTTCCATTCCAGCTCTGTGCGTAATGGTGCCAAGACCGACACGGATGCGTTTTTCGGGGCCTGGAAAACGCATCTGGCCTGGATTCCCTATGTTCTTTACAGCCACACGTGTGGATTTTAGCAATCTACTCGTGGAAATCCGCATTTGCTTTGGGTTTATGGTATTCAAATCTCTTTAGCACACATCAAGCTACCTCTGGGTCAAAAACGACACGGATGCGTTTTCCAAGGCCTGGTAAATGCATTCGGCTTGCCTTTTCCAAGGCGTGGTACATGCATCCGGCTTGCTTTGCAGCTTCCATTCCAGCTCTGTGCGTAATGGTGCCAAGACCGACACGGATGCGTTTTTCGGGGCCTGGAAAACGCATCTGGCCTGGATTCCCTATGTTCTTTACAGCCACACGTATGGATTTTCGCAATCTACCCGTGGAAACCTGCATTTGCTTTGGGTTTATGGTATTCAAATCTCTTTAGCACACATCAAGCTATCCTGGTCCAAACCGACACAGATGCGTTTTCCAAGGCCTGGTAAATGCATCCGGCTTGCTTTGCAGCTGCCATTCCAGCTCTGTGCGTAATGGTGCCAAGACCGACACGGATGCGTTTTTCGGGGCCTGGAAAACGCATCTGGCATGGATTCCCTATGTTCTTTACAGCCACACGTGTGGATTTTCGCAATCTACCCGTGGAAAGCTGCTTTTGCTTTGGGTTTATGGTATTCAAATCTCTTTAGCACACATCAAGCTATCCTGGTCCAAACCGACACAGATGCGTTTTCCAAGGCCTGGTAAATGCATCCGGCTTGCTTTGCAGCTGCCATTCCAGCTCTGTGCGTAATGGTGCCAAGACCGACACGGATGCGTTTTTCGGGGCCTGGAAAACGCATCTGGCCTGGATTCCCTATGTTCTTTACAGCCACACGTGTGGATTTTCGCAATCTACCCGTGGAAATCTGCTTTTGCTTTGGGTTTATGGTATTCAAATCTCTTTAGCACACATCAAGCTATTCTTGTCCTAGTCAAAACCGACACGGATGCGTTTTCCGAGGCCTGGTAAATGCATCCGGCTTGCTTTGCAGCTGCCACACCAGCTCTGTTCGTAATCGTGCCAAGACCGACACGGATGCGTTTTTCGGGGCCTGGAAAACGCATTTGGCCTAGATTCCATATATTGGTTACGACCACGGGTTTGGATTTTCGCAACCTACCCGTGGAAATCTGCATTGGCTGTGTTACCACAGTCACACTAAGACTTTCATGTTCGACACCCAGCCGCAGCCAGACTGCCAAACACATGCAATTTCAAGGGCTGGCACATGCATCCGTGCAAGTATCATTCCAGGTTTGTGTGCTTTTAGTTGAGGTCTGAACTGAAATGCATGGATTCATCAAGAAGTTATCATCTGGGCTGGATTCGTTATATTGTTTTCGGCCACATGTGGATGTTCGCAGAAATACTGCAACTGGTATCGGTATGGGCTTGTCGTAATTTGGTACCAGAGTAGTCTGGACTCAACTCATCAACGACTCAAGTTTTCATTCATCGAGGCTTCGAACGCAATGGAAGTCTAGCTTGGATATCTTATGCTGCTGGATGCGAGGACTCCGGATGTTCTCAACCTAGTCGTTGAATTCCAAACATGCCTCTCAGTCCAGCTGTTCGAATTCGGCGCACATTATGACCCGAACTAGCATACCAGCTCCTGAAACTTACACCATCGCACATCTGTGAGTACGGGGACAACGAACCTTGACCACCGCACAGAATCAGAAAGCAGCAGGAATTCCAATCACAGCCGACTAGGGAATAATACTCCTCCGCACTTCGAAATAATTCACTGTGCAGCCAGAAACTGGAGGCCTCCGGAGGCAAAGACGATCGAATCGTAGCAGATGTCAGTGATATCAGAAAGCCTGAGAGCAAGCACCAGGTCCACAGCGAATGCCGCCTAGATTAGATACGTATTGTGGAGCCTAGCAGCGAACAACGGTCAAACAGGAGTTGTGAAAGCGCGGTCAGACATGCATGCAAGGAAATGGAGATGGAAAGGTTTCCATTTCACAATCCTGAGTTCCCTGGAACAGAAGTCGGCACGACAGTCCGGAAGCCCAGGCCCCAGCCGAAATGAGAAGTCCAGAAAACCAGAAGAAGGCCAGCACCTGGCCAAGGACGAACAAAGCAAGCAGTTGCTGCCCAGGGATCAGAACAACAGCCATACGTTCGGCCATGTCTCATGCTACACTGGGAATGCATGCGCGTGGCAGGTTAACATGACAATGCCTTGCATCTGCAGTGAAGAAGCTCCAAGATCTAGAATAGCCCTAGCCAGCATGCTTGAAGATTCAATAGCACGAACATACCTAGATCAGAAATCCCTGCCTCCAGAGTTTTCAGCGCCACAGCCGTAAGCAGGCCGTTGAGAGCACAGACGTGAGGAGTTGAATTTCAAAAATTCGGATTTGCGGGCTGCTCTTTGATAAATTCTGGGAATCTAGGATTCCGCACAGCTGCTCTGATATCGTATGTTTTAACAGCATGAATGAATCCGCGCACACAAGCCAACCTTCGAACAAAACTGGCAAAGGGACAAACTGCCTGTCAGTTCCCTATCTGCAGTGCAGTGACCATCCGGCCCGAAACAGCCAGTCCCAAGAGTGATCCAACGAGCATCGGCCCACCATCCCAGAACCAAAACCCGGACTCCCGAACGAGAAAAACCCCTAGGTGTGACCAAGCCAGCGGCCACATCAAAGTGGCCGTTGAAACCACGCACCTCCAGAAAGCGTGTTGAATCAAGAAATAGGGCTATGTGTAGCACAGCACTTACATGAATACACTCACCCAAGCTTTGCCATTTGCGGTTGAATCTTCTCTCCGATGCATGCTCCCTGGTGCAATATTGCGACGAGAACAAGAAGCAGCTTAATCAAGAGAGCCTGCTAAAAGATCACACACAGACACTGGGAGCGATACGAGAGGTGGCAATCATAATTCTAATAATGGGCATGAAGCGATCAAACTGTTTGCCAATACTTTTCGGAAAGGGGGGCCTCGGCATCGGATCATCGTCGAGAAGCGAAGACGGAGCAACCTGGGCCACGTGGCTAAAGTACTGCGCATGGTAGCGGCTTTTAGGAGTCGTGGCATGGCAAGTCTGCATAGCAAAAACAGATCCGAACCAACATGCCTGCACATATGCCTCGCTCACAATGTGAAAACCAAACTGACTAAGCACCCAACTAACTAAACCACTGGACTGGTGCTCGGCCTCAGACTCGGAAGCGAAGCCTTTGCGGCCCAATCCCAACCTCGACAGGCAAAGGGTAATGGATTGGGGGCAGGGAGCAAAGGGCCCAACGCCCATCAAAAGGACAGCATGGCACAAAATGAGCATCACGAACATGTCTGTTCAGGACAATACAACATGCCGGCCCCAAAGAATCCCGAACCAATTCAAAGTCCAGAAATCTCAAAATACCGAAGTGTCTAATCCGAGAGCCCGGCGACGAATGGTGTTGCGCAAATCCCGGCCTGCAACCGAAGGGGAGCACAACCAGACACAAAATGCACAGCCACACAACGATCAGAAAAGCAGGCAGTTTTCATTTCACCAGCACGGAAGATCGCAGCGGCTTCATCCTACGCCACAGGAGACTGAAACCCAGGCCGGAAGTGCAGCACACATTCGACGTGTTATGTATTGTTTAGAGTGCATGTTTGCTGCTGGACCCCAAGCCCGGCCCAGTAGTATTATGTTTTAAAATCACCCCGGCCCCAGTCCAGTCACCCGTCTGTGAGAT